GGAAAACCTGTTTGGAACAAATAAGTTACAAGTTAGGCATAAGTAATGGAGCCTGTAATTTGAAAATGTTTATATTATCTATCTAAGAAGAAATTTGATGAGTTTAGCTAACTTATGTGCAGATTCAGGATGAAAACTGTAGATTCTGCTAGACTGATTTCTGGTAAATCTTGACAATCTGGTTTGCAGTAAATTCTAATACTGTCACAAAATGTCAGGATCACATTATTAAATTCAGCTAGTAATGTGACCTGATTGGAGTAGCAATCCTTATCATGGCACAAGAACTTAAACATGCAATATAACAATTCTGAAGATTGGTGATAAAAGTAATCCGTCATAGCAAAGTGAATTATTAAGTATTATGGGTTTAAATTTACTTTCTATTACAGGAAAGAATCTGAATTCTTTGTTAGCATTTCAGTGATATTGTAAAGCATTTCTATATTTTGTTTGAACAGTTTAGGAGCTTGCATAAAATTATATTGGCTGATTTTTTCCCCTTTGATATATGCAATAATGTCAATAAGCAATAAATTGCATGTTGTATGCAAGGTATTGGTACATCATAATAAAGGAAAGAACACAGCTCCTTATTTTGTGAATCTTTCTTTCTTAATATGGTAAGAGCTTATGTACCTATAATGAGTACTTCATGAAAGAACAGTTTGGGGGGTTAAATTCTGAAACAACTGGCTTTAATGGTATCTTGAGATTTCATGCTGTATCTTATTTATTTTAAAGAAGGTGAAGATGGATGTATGAGGTCTGAGCCCCACTGTTGCTCAGGTGGTTGGAATTTTGAATGCTGAAATTCTATGTAGGACATCACAGGGGCCAGGAATGTAACTTAAACTCCAAATTTGTGTATTGGGGAATTGTATATTATGTAAATTTATGTATTGGGGAAGAACTTTTGGATTGGGTAGTATAATTGTATTGCATTGTCTTGCAATACCACATGTGCCAGGGCATAGACTGGACAGTTTTCTGAAGGTTCTGGGGATAAAGAGCTGCTGTTGTCAGCATGTTATAAATATGATGCACTACACAGTCCCTTACTGAATACTAAAATGGCAATTAAGTTCCTCAGTATGGCAATTGCTAGGTTCTCTATGTGCATGGAAGTATGAATTGTGTGGTAAAGCCCACAGGTTTCTTTGAGCATCCCTAGAGATCGCTGCTGTTTTATATCTTAACCACTGGCTTCCAAGCACAGGTTTCTTTGGGTTTTCTTGTGTTATGCAGTGGTTAAATTGCTTGAAGAAAACACAAAGCAGTACAGTGTTTTTACTTTTTTTCCTTTCATTTTTTGAAGGGTATTTAGTTGCATTTGTAGATTATACACTTAAGGTACTAATTTTACACTGCTAGTGTAGTAAACTACTCATTAACTAATGGGTCTGTTAGAAAGCGAGTGGGAGTTTCTGGGAACAGATGTTCTTTGGGGTCAGATGCTATATAGGTCAGATTTCCAACTGCTTGAGGAAGGAAAATGGGGCTTGGTAGGAGGCCTTTGTATTGGCACCAGGCAGCTTTTAACACTGAATAGTGGGAAGGAAGGACTGGGTACGGCTGGGAACAAGGGATGCCTTTCAGTGAGCCATTCTTAAACTGATGCATTCAACAAATCTTGCTTAAAGTGTGAGAAACATTATCTCTCCCTAAGATGTAGGATATAGGAAGTATTTTTTATATCCACTTCTTTGTCATATTTGAATGCACGGGTGCTTTTCATTTTTTTCCTAAATTTTTTTATTACTCTTTGTACTCTTGCTGAAAACTTTGGTTTCTCTCCTCATATTGGTGTGATAATTTTGCACTAAGATTAAAACAAAAAATCAATATTTGCAATGGATATCTGTCATATTTTAGAAGTTGGAGTACTGTGGTGTCTTCTTTTGCTCTACTCTTCTGGAGTTCACAGTGCAATATACCTATGGGCAGACTCTGCTTCATTGAGACTGGGACCTTGGTGCTCTTTGTGAAGAAGCCTTTACATTAGTAAAAAAATTTTTGCTACTTGGCTTATCTTACAGTAGTGAAAACTAGTATCCATGCAATGAGTAATGGTGCAGCTGTTGCTTGTGGAGAGTGATGGTGGAAGCAGGGAGATGGCATACTGACATCTACAGCATTATGTACTTGGAGAGGAAGGAGTAGAAGCAATTTTCCATTTGAGAACATCAGAGAAACAAAATCTGTTTTACTATAGAGTCCTTCTGCCACTGATTTGAAATATATTTAGAAGCAGAGATTTCAGTTGCTCTCTGGGAGGATCTTATTAAATAGTGTCGTTAAGTGAAGACAGGATGGGTGACTTGTGGCTGTTCAGCCTGGAGAAGAGAAGGCTCTGTGGAAACTCCAGAGCCCCTTCCAATATGTAAAGGGGCTACAGGAGAGCTGGAGAGAGACCTTTTACAGAGGCATGTGGTGATGGGATAAAGGGGAATGGATTTAAACTGAAAGAGGGCAGGTTTAGATTGGATGTTAAGAGAAATTCTTCCCTGTGAGAGTGGTGAGACACTGGAACAGGTTGCCCAGTGAAGCTGTGGATGCCCCTGTTGACGGCCAGGTTGGATGAGGCTTTGAGCTACCTGGTGTAGGTGTCAGGAAAATTAATCCACAAACACCTAAGGTTTATGTCTAAAAAGGAGACAGAGGAGTCCTGTAACTTTGTTCAAATAAAAGGAGAGGTCATCGGGCATTCCCATGGGGTCTCAAAATTTTTAGGGCACACAGCCTCCTTTTTACCCTAATTTCCCTGCCGCATTCTTCCTCTCTCCCCATTGGCTGAGGTACTTCAGAGGTACAGACTCCCTGAAACACCGAATACCCCCCACCCTCTTTTTCCTTGTGTCTCCATTCTTTTTCTCTAAATCCAGAGATTTAGCACAGTCTTGAGTGAGTAGCAGACTGTGTCAATTAGTGGAATTCCTATGGAATTTGTGGTTTCCCCCATTGCTTTTCACCTCTGCATCTGACCATATCTGCCATCAAGCCCACAGCTTGTTTTTAAAGACACCTCCTTCTCATTCCTTTCATGGGGAAGGTGTCCCTGCCTATGGCACAGGGGTTGGAATGAGAGGATCTTTAAGGTCCCTTCTAACTCAAACTGATCTGTGGTTCTGTATGTGTAGCAAGGGAAGACATAAAATGATTGTTCAGTGCTGCTTACACAGCTGTTACTGTGAGTGTAGTCTTGGATACTGCAGCAAAGCCAAATATGCCTGAACTGGGAAAGTATGGAGGCAATCAGAATGTTTTCTAGGGCATATAGTAGAGATTCAGTTATTGACACAATGCTAAATTTCTATCTTAAGGTTCTTGATATGCTGTGCTAATAATTTCTGCGTGCAGAGAGGGTAGAAAATAATTTCCTCTTAAGTAATCAAGACTATAAAAGGGCAAAAATGACTGAAAGGATGAATGTTTGGTATTGTATTATACTTGTATTTTTATTTCATTTTCACACTGAATGGCAATGTCCTTGTTAATAAGAAAGATCCTACTTTGAAAGATGGCATGTAAAAGTTTGGATTTTCTTCATCCCATGCTACTGTAATAACTGTCACTTGAAGATTAAATTCCTTTATCCTTTAGTTCTATTTTTAAATGTTACAATTAAATAGACTATTTGGGAAAAAACTATAGTTATTTCTTAAATCAGTTCTAATTGTTGTACATTTATAATGAATGTTTCTCGGCTGCCCACCTGCTTTTTGCACTTGACAGCTTCTTTAGAGAACACGTGGTGGGATGAACATTGAAATAGTCCTGTGGGGTTTGTACCTACTGTTACAGCCAGGTGTTAGCACTTGTTGGTCAAAAAGGGCTGTGATGAAGTTAATGTTCTGTGCTTTGATGCGCACTGAGCTCCATCTTCTGTGTGTTATGCACGGTACTTCACACGTGCAGGTAAAATGCATCTTCTAGCTTGGAAATGAGGCAGTTTGCTTAGGAAACCTTAAAAGAGCTGAAATACTTTTCTTGGCTAGTTGATGTTTAAAAATAATCCTAAACAACTTTACTATTTCCGCAAGTTCAATACTAAAGAGGATACACCTTTAAGGTACCGGTGCTGCTAGTAAGTTGTAGGTTCCTTCTATACTTAAGCAATTATTCGCGGTTGTAAGGGGCAATGATTTCACAAACAAGCCCACAGCACGAGGTGCGAGCGCAGCTGCCCGAGGCTTCCCGCGAGCCTCTCTTGGCACAGTTCGCTCTCGCTGGCAAGTTCGGACCCGGCTCTCGTCCCCGGGCTGCCAGGCCTAGGCAGCAGGGCGCTGGGCGAGGGCTCAGCCCCGGGGCCGCGGGGGGCCCAGGCCCGTGCCCGGCGGCGGGAGGGGACCCAGGCCCGCGCCCGCCCCCGAGAGGAGACCCGGCCCCGTGCCCGGCCCCGCTCCCGCAACCCTGGCGGCGGGCGGGAACACGGGCCGGGAGCTGGGCGGGGAGCCGGCCCCGTGCCCGCCCCTCGCCGGCGGGCGCAGGCGTGCAGCGGGGCCGCGTTCTCGCGAGGAGCTCGGGGCCGCCGCGGAGGCGCCGGCCGTGCCGGGCGAGGCGAGGTGAGGTGAGGAGAGGAGCACGAGGAGGATGAGGGTGCGGAGGATGTGCGGGGCGCGGCGGGGCAGCGGCAGCGCCGGGCTCGGCGGCGCTGGGAGGCGGCGCTGGGAGGCGGCGCTGGGGCGGCCGGGCCGCGCAGAGGGGCGGGCCTGCCCTGACCTTGCGGCTCGGTCACGGCGGGGGCCGGGCCGGGGCGGGAGACGCTGTCCTTCAGGGCATGCGGGCACACACGACGGGACCGTGAGGAGCCTGGGCAGCAGCTCGGGGCAGCCCCGCTAGGGCCTTGAGTTTTGTTTGGGCTGGAAGCTTGTTACTTAAATCGATTTTTCAGTTAATTTTTTAATTTGTGGTGCAGTACTGCACCTGCACTTGGCGTTCACCTTAATAAGTAGCCAGTATAGTTTTGTGTTACGAATGTTTGCTTTCTTTTTGTTTAGAAATTTGATCTTGAAAGGCCCGGTGTGCAGAGGCCATGGGTTTGTCCGCGTCCTCCCCGGCTGCCACAGAGCAGCCACCGAATGCATCCAGGCAATACCAGGCGGCGTCTCCACCTTCAGAATGTCCCATGCACCAAGAAAAAATGAGCGGTAATCATTCTTGAAACCTAAATGAGCTAAACTCTGCGTGGAAACAAGACTGAAAATCTTGGTGGGGGGGAGGGAGAAATTCTTCAGATAAACTTGAGGGTTTTGTTCAACAAAAGTAATTCTCAAGTAAATTTTCCTTAGGAGGAGTCACTTGTTCAGCACACACTGTGCAGGCTGCTTTGTTTGTAGAGACAGGAGGTGCTTACTGTAGAAGCTGTGGGTTGCTTCCAGTAAGGTTTCCTAAGGGCCCTGCAGATCTGTTCCATGGTGTGGCACAGCCACAGAGGGTCAGGGAGCCCCTCAGAGATGGTGGTGAGTTGATTGGTTGTCACTAAAAACTGTGCATCTGGAAAAGGGCTGCACAAGGGTGGAGTGAGATGGATGCCTGGAGAAGGACATCAGCTCCTCTGTTGACTCAGTCAATGCACTGGGTCGCTGAGCAAGTCTCAAGTACAAACAGTTCAGTATTGGGACCAGGATGGGGGATAGGAAATGAGCATTCAGAGACTACACAGGAAACTCAGATCTTATAATGATTTTGGGTCCTTTTGCAGGAAAGAGAGCAGTCAAAACTGTTAAAAAGCTCAGAAGAAATAGTGAAGTACCCGTTTGCATTTACATGAGCCTTCAATTAACTTTTCCATTTCATGTATTAGAGTTTTCATCTTGTAACAAAATATATACTGCTGTTGTGTTTAAGGTTGTCCAATGCATATGAAGACTGCTGATCATAGCACTGAGAACACAGATGATGTTCCTGCACATCAAGAAAGAGCTTATGAGTTTGTAGCATGTCCTGTGAAGTCTGGTGCATCTCAAATGAAAGATGACATAGATCCCAGCAATATGGTAACTTTTGCTTACTTCACATGTTTTCTTTAGTCTTCTTCCTTTTGAAGTATTATACCCAAAAATGTAAATAGTGTTACTATGTAAGCTGGAAACTCTGAGAAATAACATTATTGTTTTATTTTTAAAACTGCTTTTACTCTTTTTTGTGCAATTTTTTATTTAAAAACAAGTCACATCTTATTTAACACTGTATTAAAATTTACATCTCTGGTGATTTTCCTGTTTTTAAAGATAACTTTTGCTCTCTATTTACTAGTTACATAAATGTTTTTTATGATGCATTGTTGGATTTTAGTTTCTGTGTAACAGCAGTATGGTTGAGTTCTGATTAGCATCTCTAAGATTTCCTCTGATTTACAAAAAGCATTGCTCTTTTGAAAATTGAAGTTTACGCAGAAAGCTTTCCTGTAGTCTCCTGATGACAAACTTGTGCAAAGAGTTCTGCTGCAAAAAAAAAAAAAAAATTGGTGGAATTAAGTAAAGGCTGAACTTCTTGATCTTTGTAGGAGTTGATTGATCATGCTTTGATTTTTCGCAAACACTGTAACTTACCAAAATGTTAATAATGTAGTTTGTTTTTGGTTCTCCTTGTTCTCTAGATGCCTCCTCCCAATCAGCAGCCATCTCCAGGTCAACCATTTCCATTGTCAACTGTTAGAGAAGAATCTTCCATTCCTAGAGCACATTCTGACAAGAAATGGGTCTATCCTTCAGAGCAAATGTTCTGGAATGCTATGCTAAGAAAAGGGTAAATACACTGTGAACTATCAGATATGTCTGTGAGCCTAGAATTCATGAACTAGTATCATTAGTTATTGTTCTTGGGTTTTTTTGGGGTTTTTTTTTTTTTTTTTTGAGTGTTTGTGGATTTTAACCAGTAAATAATAAGACAGCTCTTTTAAAAAAGGACTTTTCTTATAAACATCTTTATATTTTAAAGGGTGAGTCAGTCTCAAAAAGCCGTGTGTCTTCTAGTGATTAGGAGGATTGTAAAAAATGTCAAGCAACTGCTAGTGGCTCAGAAGATTTTCTTAAAAGTCCCTGTACAGGGGTAGGCAAAGTTTGCATGATGGCAGTCATGCCAACTGCATGATTGCCAGTTGGTTTCATGCTAATGCTGTGAAATGACAGCAGAAGTTCTATGTGAGAACTTCTAACTTTGCACAATTGCTGAAACTGGGGAAATTTGCAAGTAAATATTTTTAGTATTTACAAAGATTTAGTGTAGGCAAGACTAAAAATCCTCCTGTGCTGATGTTTCCTTGTTCTTTTGTAATGATTTGTCATTCTCTAACAGGTGAAGTTTACAGGTAGTTTACTTTTGGAGCAATAGTAATTCTTTTTCCTACATGTCAATGTGGTTCGTAACTCAATATGACATAAGCAGCCTGGATGGAACATACAGGTTTGGCTCCTGTAAACACTGAAATGTCTTAAGGTTATGCTAGTTGAATTGGAAGCACACATGCAGTCAAAATGCAGTGTCAAGAGAGATGGAAAGTATTCCTAAGTGTTTGCAAAATGCATTGAATACAGGACTTCTGTGCATTAGGAATGCAAGTGGGATTTTTCCTAAGCATTTTTTATGAATACTGTGGATGTGGTGATGTTTGCGCATCCTGATAACTTTCTGATCCAGTTAAGCTGTTAATTTAGCTATGTAGAATTTGTAGATCTCTGTGATGATAAGTTGCATAACCACACTTGTGCACAGAAAATGAAGTGGTTCTCAAGATGCTTAAGCAGATGAGCCAGAAGTTTGCATACTTGTTGCATATAGCTGTAAATCTTCATTCAAAAGTTTATCAGATAAAGCTAGGAAGGTAGTTATGCTGTAATGTTTATAAACTATTTTCAAGTTCTTATTTTTTAGGTGGAGGTGGAAAGATGATGACATAACAAGTGAAGACATGACCAACATTATTAAGATTCATAATCAAAATAATGAGCAAGCTTGGAAGGAGATTTTGAAGTGGGAAGCTCTACATGCTACGTACGTACCTGTGAAATGTTGCATATGGAATATTTGTAATATTATTACAAAGATATGAATTGTAAACTTAGATTAGCATGACTGGTGACAAGACTGTTACTTTTTAGATCAGCATAGTCCCTGTTCCTACAAGACACAGACTAGTTAAGCATTTGGTATTGTAAATTTTTTTCTCTGAAATTCCATGATCATTTTTACACAGTAGTTTGGATTAAGGTTTTCTATTCTTTAATCTGTTAAATCTGTGGATTAGATTTGCAGAGAACTGCTTTGTTGACAAATTAGAACAATGGTTTGGAGCAGGTCAGGGATACTTTATCATACCAGCAGTAAGTGCGGACAGAAACTGGGTGACTTTTCAAAGCTTTAAAAAAAGGAAAAATGTTGGGTTATATCACTTGTAATTAATTTTTTACTGTTGCTTTTTTCTACTCAGTTTCTGGGTTGCTAAAACGAATTACCATAATGGTTTAATCAGTGAAAATAAGACTGTGTTAACAGGTGAAAACTCTTTTCCTTTTTAATTGTGTGCACAGGGAATGTCCATGTGGGCCCTCACTGATGCGGTTTGGAGGCAAAGCGAAGGAGTACTCACCAAGAGCCAGAATACGTTCATGGATGGGGTACGTAGGACTTTTCAGAAAAAAGGTGTCAAGACTCTCAGTCTTTTTTTTGCTATTTTTGACTTTTTTTGAATGTTTCTCAGCTCCCCACCTGCTTTTTGCACTTGACAGCCTCTTTAGAGTCTATGTGGTGGGATGAACATTGAAAAAGTCCTGTGGGGTTTGCAGCTACTGTTACAATGGTTACTGCATTGCCAGGTCTTAGCAGTTGTTGGTCAAAAAGGGATGCTGGAGAAATGTGTCTGAAAACATGGTGTGGAATTAATGTAAAGATGTTTCAGAACTGGGATTGCAAGTTAGAATTGCCAGGAGATAGATGTACTAGTGGGATGTTACAGACAAACAAATCTTGAATGGGCCTCCCTCTCCCAGGTTCATAATCCCCATTAATGCCTCCATGGGGTGTTCCCTGTCCCCTGCAGGTACGAGCTGCCCTTTGACAGGCACGACTGGATCGTTGACCGCTGTGGCAAGGAGGTGCGCTACGTCATCGATTACTACGACGGCGGGGCGGTGGATGAGAACTACCAGTTCACCATCCTGGACGTGCGCCCCGCGCTGGACTCGCTCTCGGCCGTCTGGGACAGAGTCAAGGTGGCCTGGTGGCGCTGGACTTCCTAACTGCTCCTGTGGTGTGTACTCGAAAATAACCACTTTGCTCCTAGACAGTGGACTGTCAGTATCAGGACTTGAGACAGAGCTTTGCTGCAGCTGTCATTGCTTTCATCATCACCACTCTTCTTTGGGGGTGGGAGGGGAGGACAGGGAAATCTCTCCTTAAATACACCAATGCTTTGTGGTGTTTCAAATGGAATAATAAAGTTACAGTGGCAAAAACATGTATCTTAATTTTCTTAAGAACTGGGAAGCCTTTCTTCATCTCAGATTTTGCGTAAGTTCGCCTTCTTTTCATTTCATGACTTCAGTGCTGCTGCAAATACATTGAAATTCCGATTCCGACTGGAATTTTGAGTATTACTTGATTATTGAAAACAGGAAATTTCTGCCATTATTTCACATATTTGAAGTATTTGGATACCTCCATGATGAATAAACGGTAAAAGATCTGGACTCTTTCAAATTACATGTTTTATTTACATAATAAAAGCATGTATTTGTTTTCATATAGACATTTTACCTATTCAAATACATCCTCAGAAAACTTCAGTTAATCAGTTAAAGGAGGTGTAGTGTGGTATGAGTATTTTAAAGGTATGTTATGTAGAAAAGGAGAACACTCATGCCTTAATCTGCAATTTTTCTTTGAACTGAAGAACACTGCTAGAAGCAGGAAATGAGTGTCACTTTTAAAACAGCATTTCTAAAAGGACAAAATTGATATTTAATGGCTATTTACTTGAATATTTAAAAGATGGTTTTCTGATGTAAGAAAATACATTATTACAGTATTTTCATATCTGTAATGTGTGTCATGTCATGAATTCAGGACAGAGCTAAGCCTTATTTAAAGCACCTCCTGCAGTGCATCTGCATTTGGCATCCTGGCTGCATTAATGATATTTATTACAGCATAGTTTTTTATATAATAAGGAATTGCACAAGGGGGTGTGGCTACACAGTCAAACATGTGAGTATAGTGAGGTGTATTACAGGTGTGTACATAACTGGGCTAAAAGGGTATCAGAAGTGCCAAGGGAGGAGGTTGATTGGAGTGTTTTCTAAGGGTGATGCATGGCATAAAGATTTGATTATTGTCTGTGCTTAGTAAGGGAAACTAACTTTTTAAAGTCTTCCACTGTAATAGCTTTAAGTTTGCACGACTCAGCAAGTTTCAGGTGCTGTGCAAAACACTTGGGATTGGAAAGGAGTAAGAGAATAATAGCTTGTTGTACCTTTTCAAATGAGGGAAGCTGCCTTCTTGAAACTCCCAACCTTAATAGGAAAGTAGCTGTACCTTTCATTTTCTGAAAGTGGCCTGTGTTTAACTGACTGGAACTTTCCCTTTCCCTTTCCCTTTCCCTTTCCCTTTCCCTTTCCCTTTCCCTTTCCCTTTCTTTTTTCTTTTGATAGGAAGCCCCTCTTAATATTTCAGGAAAGTCATTTCCCATTTAGGGAAAAATCAGTCAGGGAAGCTTTCCTACTTTGGAATTCCAATGATCACAACTAGTTCCCACCTCATAGACAACTGTTGTGCATGGTAGGAATAAATATTATCCAGAATCCTAAGAGGTAAAACATGCTCTTGCCCGTACGCACTTTGTTCATTCCTTTTTCAGCTTTTCAGTGATTCATATATATATGTATATATATATATAAAAATTATAAACAGGGAAGATAAAATTTCCATCTAAATAGGCAATATATGGATAAGATAAATGAAAAGAGAGTTTGTATGAAGCAAATGAAGGAACTGACTCATGAAGGAACTGCTCTGTTCTAATAGTAAAGATTGAGGAGTACTCTTTTTGGGGTGGTGGGTTGTTTTCCTATGGGATTATTTTGGTAGTTGTTGGTTTATGTATTTGGCAACTTGCAACACTGAGGATTCTGTGTTTCTCATAACTAAATATGGAAAGGCTAAACCGCTGTAGGGAGTACTTCAGAAGCTTCAAAAGCACAAGTTTGCTTTGTTGATTTTGGCAGTGTGATGTTGAGAGCGTGGAAATTGTAATCGCTGCTAAATCTGGGGAAAACTGTCACAAGCCACTGGATGTGTTTACTATCTCCTGTTACCTTTATCTACCACAAATTCAAAATTGTTCTTTTCTCTGCTACTGTTAATGCAATGTACTACTTTGTCATCAAACTTAAAGGAGAATCAAATAAATAGACTTTTCTTAACTTTGGTATTTGGTGATCATGCTTTTAGCTGTAAGAATTATTAAAATGGGCTTTTACATGTGTCCTATGAGATTCTAGTCTGTTACAGCTAAAATCTTGGTATAGAGTACATATTTGATATTGTTATTATCTGTTATTGTATATTACTACAACTTAACTATTGTCACATCTTTGAATATATTCTTACTCATTTTTCAGGTGAATACAAAAGAAAAACCCAAGGACCAAATTCAAGTATTTACTAATCGAAACAGCAGTTCTCAGAATAAGAGCATATGACAAAAAATACATTCATCCTGAGCCTGGCTAACTTGAGAGGAATGCAAGGAAATGTAAAAAAAAATTCTTAAAGACTAAAAGAAAATAATTAATTTCTACAAGCAGTAAGACTTAAGGAAGTAAATGGAGTTTTCTTCTTTAGGCTTGGGTTTCTTGATGCATGATACGTGGATGTTAGAATTAAAATTATAATTCCAATGTAAATTTGAAAAATGGTGATTTAAATTGGGCTTTTTTTAATCCTTAGGAAGGATGTTTTAACTAAGAAACTATTGTTCAGGCTATATTAAAAGAAATGTGTGTATATGCATAAATAAATACATTTAAATCCTTTCTTTGTAAGGATAGGAAGTATATACCTTCCTTTGTATAGGAGGGCCTGGAGAGTTCATGGAGCCCAAGAAAGTGAAGAAGTATCCTGATCAAGTCCTTTCAGGGAATTCTGCAGTGACATCAGGTACCCAGTCATAGTGAGGCTGAAACAGAATTTTGGAACCCATCTCAAACTAAGATTAAACTTGTGCACATTACAAAGGGAAAATGCAGACACTCACTAAAGAAAAGCTGCTTCTAGAATTAGTTCTGTGTTTAGATATCTAAAGTTCACCTGTGTTCTGCTTTGCTATATCTAAGTGCTTGATATTTGCTGCTTGACCTATTTTGTTTGACTCTTGCAGATGAAACAAGTTAGGGGTGCTCTCCTGGCCTGCCCTGAAGATGTGTGCTTAAGGATGTCACAGTGCCCAGAAACTGCACTCTCTGGGACTGGTGGAAAAGGACTCCAGCATAACATTCCCAGCTGTAATCACATGCAGTCAGGAGTGGTTCTGACCTTGATTTCCTGGAGCAGGAAGCCATTCTGCATTCAGGTATGGGTTTTGGCCACTTGCAGTTGTGTCACTCCAGGCTGCAGTGGCTGCCCTGCACAGGGTGCCTGGCACTGCTGCCACTCTACAGGGGCACCAGACTGCCTGCTCTGCCTCCAGCACCCTCCCTGCTCAGTCACAAGGGACCAGCTCTCTGCTCTCCTGCAGTTTGTCCTGTCAGTATCTGGCCAACAAGAGTGCTCTGTAACTGGGGAGTAATTCAGAGGCTAATCTTTCTGGGATGCTTGGAGTTCCTGACTTTCTTGAGTCATCCTGCATTTTGCCCTTGGAGGCAGTTTGGAAGGGGGAGCTGTAGCTCTTCTGTCTCTCATTTATTTTTTTTTCCTCTGTCCCCTAGAAACACCTTTGCTCCTTCCTTTCATGCTATGCTCATGGTCCTAGCTTCAATCCCTCTAAGAATTTTTCAGCTAAGGCTTAAAATTTCTGCCCTGCTTTGCTGTAAAAGAAAGAGACTCTATTGCTGTAAGATAGTTGTGTCCATTCTTGATTATTGCTACTTTCTACTGCCAAAACCAAGTGTTCTGGATTACCACTTCTGAATTATGAGATGAAAGAGGCATGCTAGTTCAGTGTGAAATTTTGTCTAGTGTTTACATAATTTATTTACGACCAGGACTTTAATGTACTCTGTAAATTTGAAGTCTCAAATGTGCTGATAAATACAGTTCTGCTTTCAAAGGTGTGAGAGTGACAAAGGATCTCAGTGCTCTGAAAATGGTCATAAATAGTCTGTCATCTTATACACTCCCATTGTGTTTGTTCCACTCTTGTATCCAAGTGTGGGGGAAGAGGAGCTAATGTGCCAATTGCAGGAGATGAAGGCAGATACATTGCTGTAGCTCAGCAGCCAAAAATGAACTGCTAGACTAAGAAGCACTTCCTAATATTTGGACTTTTACTAAAGTTTGTTTTTTATAGAGGGTAGAAATGCCTCTTTCAGAGCCATCACTTTTTAAAGGCATCTGTTCCCAGCACTTACTAAATGATAGGGCACGCTGATTCTCTGTCTCCTTTGCTTACACCTGGAGGAGAATCCATGTAGTGAGGTTCCACCAGCCAATATGCTTGATGTGGCAGCTGAATGTTTTAAGGATAGATGCTAGATGTGCTTATTTCTTCAGTATCATACCCTTCCCTACCCACAAGTATTTTTACATATGTTATTTTAAAAAATGCACAGGATTGCTAGGTTTTTACAATTTTTTAGTAGGCAACTTCATGCATTTTTACTCCCACTGAAAGAAAATGTATTCTGTTTATCATTCTACCTTTGTACAAGGTAAATTGCATGCAAAGATCTTTATGCAGTGAATCAAGTAAGTATTGATTCTCTCATCAGTGGAATCTATGGTCATATTAGACATGTCAGGTCATAAAAAGCAACAATTTTAGTTTGCATTAGATGGCTAATCACTTTTATGTGATTCTCCTTCAAGAAAAAATGGCTTGTCAAACTCCTAAGGGAAGAATCTTATATTCTTCTATGAATGTGACAGTTACATCTATTTGGTCTTACTACTTGTACATCACATTGCATAGAAGCTTCTGGGCAGAGTACTGGACTCCAGGCCTTATCATGAGGCCTTGGCCTCGTGTGAAATGACACATTATTTCCAGGGAGCCATGGATTCTGATGGCAGCTCCCCCAGTATGGGTCTGCTTATCTGCAGTG